AACAGACTTGACAACATTATCAAGAATTCATCTGGTCCAGACATCAGAGATAGCTAGATATTAACTCTCTTTGCAGAATGATCATAGCCTTGTTAGGAAGTCTATTTCATTACCTGACCACCCTAAAGTTACAGAAATCTTCCTGAGGTCTCAGATCTCCCTCACTGAAACTTAAGAGTAAACACAGATGTAATATAAAGGTGTCAGTACCTTCTTCTAAACCATGAAAAATATTTTACCCAGGAGAATATTTTCCTACATTTTTTCCCTCTACCTCTTTAAATCCAATTCCACCTTTAGATTTATCTCACTGCCACCTCTGTTATGGAGCCTTCCCTGTCTACTTACATTCCTTAATATTTCTTTTCTCAGAACTCAAAAAGTTATAAAGAGAACTTCACAGTTTGGCTTTTAATTTTTATTACTCTTGAACTATCTCAAAACTATGAGTCTGGCCTTCCCAATGAAGATTGTAGTCTTCTTTGGGAGCTTATGTCTTCTTCTTTTGAAGACCATGTCTTCCTCTTTTGTATCTCCTGCAGCACAAAAATGGCACATAATAGGAATTCAACAATACTGATTAATTGAAGCAATACTGTCTTGTGGATAGTTTAATAATTCATTCAACAAATGGGTCAAAGCTCAATAAGAAATCAGATTCCTTTAACCATGACTTAATAGTATTCTCCTGACCTTACTCATGGTTTCAGCTGTGAAGCTTATAAAATGTGGTGCCAGAGAAGCAGCGACAGGAGCCCAAAGTGGGGCAGCCTGAGCTGGGGTAACTGGTACAAGAAAAAGCCATCTGGTGGCTTTTTGTCCAGAGTGAGGCTGGTAGAGTCTGAGAAGCCATTATCCTCCCAAGTTTTTTACCCACAATATTATGAGCCTTATAACAGATCTCAGTGCCCTTGGTTCTGGCTGGCCAAGCCTCTGATGGCTTGTAGGCTCTGAGCAGCTCATATATGGGGCCTATCGTGACTGTAAGAAATAGGAAAATACTCTAGTAACTTGTCGAAGTGACAAAGTGTGGTGGTGGCAGAGCTAGGAAGGACTTGCACTGGGCCATGATTCTTGACTCCACCTAATTCAGGACTTTTTTTTTCCTTAAAAAATACAACCCATAACCCAAGACCTGTGATTTCATCAGTATCTAGGGAGTTCTCATTAGGAGCTTCCTCTACCAGTGCAGGTGGGCATTTTCACAGCTCATTCACCCAGAGAACTGTCTGGGGCACTGAGAGGTTAAGTCAGTAGTTTAGGAGTGACCAGTACATGTTGGAAGAGAAATTTGAGCCTAGCTGATCCTGATTCCAAGGCCGATTCGCCTTCTATGCTTCTGTACTCTCTCTCTCTCTCTCTCTCTCTCTCTCTCTCTCTCTCTCTTCTCTCTCTCTCTCTCTTTCTTGGAGACCCTTCTGCCTCCACAAAATTAATGAGGGTTAGAAGTGTAGTTTCCACCATTCATTGTTATGCACCAAATGTTTGTTGGACTAAATTGTGCACTTAGTATATTATATCATGGAGGAGTTTTTAAAAAATGTAGGGTTTTTTGGTTCATAAGAATGGTTATAGAAATCAATGTATATTTATTTAGGTGGTTTCCTGTTGTGTATTATTCCATATACATGCACATGCCCTCCTGCTTTAATAAATTTGAATCCTGCATACAGGATTTTGCATGACTCCATCAATAAATTTCTTACCCCAATTACAAACAGCCTGCTCACACCTCATAACTGCTGTTGGGGCATGCTTATTCTGGAAGACATACTTCTTTCTGCCTATATCACTTTAAAAATCATTCCCAATTCAGATTCATTTAAGAACATCCTCTCTCCTCCATCCCTGCAAAACACTTATATTGAAAATAGCATAGTTGGCCTAGACCAAAACTGCCACATCTTCCTTTAAAATACAATCATTGCTCAAAATATTCACATTTCCAATTTAGGGCTCATACTTTCCTATCTTCTTCCTCTACTTACATTTCCTCTCCTCTCCTCCCCCTCTCCCCAACTGACCCACCTCAGTATCACATTCAGGTGATACAGAGTGACTTTTTTTTTACCTGCTAGAATCTACCTAGCAGAACTCCACCCACAATGATACTGAATTCAGAGCCAATCAAAAGAGTTCTTACTACAGACCGGTTCCCTAGGTAACCAAAGCATACAGACATTTGAGCTGTACTATAGAGACAGGAAGAATGCACACATGCATATATGCACATACATGCACACATACACGCATGCACACACATGCATACACACACAGCTCTTTCTTTACCTCCCTCCTTTTGCCCTTCAATCCCCCCACCCCTCCAACCATCTTTACCTTCCTCTGTTACTGTACTTGGATTTAAAAACAGCCATAAAAATGTAGGGCAGCTGGCTGTATGGTAGGATATAGTATTAATTTCTTTACTGGTTTATTTGTGAGGGAGTGAACATATAAATCACTTTAAACCAGTCCAATATGAGGGGAAGTGATATCACACCTTCAAATAGAGAAGTGTAGTGTGTATATATATATATATAAACCTACAAGGAATATGCTATCAATTTGAGATTCTTAATGGGCGTATAGTTTTGTTTTCCTTGCCTCATTTTATGAA